GTGAAAAAAACAATGATTCTATAAGAAGAAAATTTGAACATTTCTTTTCTTGTGGAATAAAAAATATTTCCTGGCATTAAATTTCGAAATATTTTTATTTGAAAAACACCACAATTCGTCAGACAAATTTAACCGAATGATGACAGGAAAACTTTCGTAGAACATTGGAAAAGAAAAAGTAATAATATGTCTCTTAAGTTGATGATCGTAATGGTGGTTTTGCGTGTTACTAGTAGTAGTGGTGTTAGTAAGTACGGTACGTTTTAAGAGACTAGGAATATACGAGCATGGAAAACGTTTTCCTTGAAATGAAATGGTCCGTCCATTCGGTACTAGGTAAAAAAAAAAAGAAAAGAAAGAGAAATAAAAAAAAAAGAACGTTTTTAGCGTCGAAACTGTTCTATACGCGGTGTGCGCCCTCGCGTTAAGGGAAAAGAAAAAAAAAAAAAAAGTAGAGGAAGGGTGAAAAGAAGAAGAAGAAGAAGTGAAAGAAGTAAAAAGAGAGAGAGAAGAGTAGGAAGAAAATTTCGCACGAAAAGAAACCAACGCTCAAGGAAATGATACGTCTTGGGCTAAGCTAAAAGTTTCCACCGAGAAGAATTTAATAATGCTTTCCGTTTGGGAAACGGAATTTTTCTTCGAGAAGGGGAGAGGAAGGGGGGAGGGAAATAAAGAAACGTGCAAAATAGAAAGGGAGACATAAAGACCAACTGGGGGGGGGAGTTTAATATTTGCCAGTAAAAGGAAACGAAATTGTTCCCCACGAATATTTTCTATTTTCCTTTCATTCGATTTAAACTTCTTTTTTTTTCACGCTTTATTTTACTTCCCTTTTGTTTTTTTTTTGCATAATAAAAAATTTAATTCGCATAACAATGTTCGATGACTTTTAGGTTTCAATTTTTCGTATTTTTATTTTCTTTTTTCTTTTTATATTTTCATCGTATTTGGTTTTATTTTGATTTTGATTTGTATTGTTTTAAAAAAATCAATTTTTGGAATTTGACGACGAGAGAATGGGGAGCATGTTTTATCATGCGAATACGTAAAGGGACGTGGTTGCTTGGTGAGGCTCGTTTTCGTTTGTTCTATGGCGATATGCCTTCACCATTAATCATATTCTTAAGCAGATATTAATTTTCCCCGGTTAAGTCTTCCGTGAGTCACGAGGTGTGTGTGCACCCCTGCCACTAAATCATTCGAGAGTGTTTGTGAAATTTCGGACTAGTCGAAGACAAATTGCGTGGGTGAAGGAAGAACCTTTTTTTTTTTGTTTTCGGTACTTCCTAAAACAAAGACGCAAATAATAATTAAAACGAGGATATTATAGTCAATTTTATACGTAAGAATTTATATTTAGATAATAAAACACAATCGGGAGAATGAAATTTTCGAGTAAAATTATGATCATTGATTTGTTATCAATCAATTTTACATTATTTTTATAATAATCGTGGAAATAATTATGTGTTATCCTTAAAAAGAAAAAGAAATTCAATATAAATTATTTTGTATTAGTTTATACACAACCTTGGTAGAAATAATGTTCAAATATATTAATAAATAGGTATCTTAGAAAATTTGGACATTCAAAACGAATTTCTAGTTCTTTTGAAGATACCTATTATTTATAATATTATATTTATAATTTAATTATATCAATATTCTTGTCCAGAAATAAATATTATTAATATAAGTCTCAAAAGGGAATTTTGGACGGTTGTTAAATCAAAACAACTGGTTCAAAATAAATTGTTCATAACATTTAACAACTGTCCAAAATTTCCTTTGAGACTTATATTAATTATATTTATATATAAGATACCTATTTATTAATAATTTTATTTTTGGAAACGAGAGAAACAACTAGTTAAAATATATATTTTACAGTTATGATTAATCGTATTCTAATTTTGTTCGTAATTATTTTATATTGCAGTTCCGATTTGCTACTTTCAGCGAGTTGATGTTGGTTCTCGGAGGCCTGATCATGGGAACATTGACAGGTCTCTGTATTCCGATTTCTACAATACAATACGGTGAATTCACAACCTTATTGGTCGACCGTAATATGAAGAATCAAACGAGTACTCCGACACTTATAATGGATTGGTTCGGAGGTGGAAAAGTTTTGTAAGTTTAGATTTCATTTTATGTATCACATATCTTTCTAAAAAAAAAATTAATATTGTTATGGAGATATGGTAAAAATGATAGTGTGAATAATAAATAAAAATAGTATTTTTCAGATTAAATAAATATAATGTTACATACATCTATTATATAATTGTTTATTAACTAATCATTTATAATGATTCAAAATATGAACTGAATTAATAACGAATCGTTTCTCTGTTTTTCTTTTTATCTTTTTCGAAACTTCCCAATCATTCTCGAACATAAAACATCTGGGATTGTTTCTTTACTTCCGACAGAAAATTTAGTCGATTTGACGGTCCCTTTGTAAGTGTGCATTTCAAATTATGGTTATAAGTCTGTTAAACATCCGTTGATGATGCATAGGCAAGAGTCAGGTTTATTATGCACATGGTGACAACAGCTTAAGTAGATTCGTATTTCATCTGATCACGTTTCGGAAGCATATGTTTTTTTTAAGGGGCACACCTAGTGTGACCGCCTAAAAAGAAGGTGATTTTTGGGAATTTTTTTTCAAGGAAACTACTGCATGAAATATTTTAAAATTTGGAGGATATATTTATACATAATTAACGAATATTAAATAAAATTTTCAAATGAAAAAAGGTCATTTTCAGCGAGTTATTCGCTATTTTCCAAGTCACTAAAAAAAAAGGGTCTAAACGGCTGCAATGATTCCAGCCTTCACCGTGGATGAAATAAAACAAAAAAAAATACTGTTAATCTAAAAGGTATTGCCTATACAATGAATTAAAATTGTGAAAACAAATTGAAATTTAACAAAATGGCAGACTTTTAAAAAAAAACTCTAAAACTATTTGAAATATTTATTTGAAATTTCAGTATGTTATTTTTAGAGATATAGACTATTAAAATATGCAAATAAAAATCAATTTTTTAAAAATGTCACACTAGGTGTGCCCCTTAAAATTCCTAACGTTTTCTGATGCTTTCTTTGTGAGGAAAAAGTTGAATATGTTGGAAACTTTTCATAATGGATTTATATTCACTAAACATATATATACTCTTGTCTGTGATTTTCAGCGTTTTTTGATCCCTCCATTACTATTATTGACATCACTTGTGATTTAAAAATCATACTACTACGAATAAATGATATATATTATTATATATTAATTATAATAATTATTAATT